TTGCCCAGAGTTTCAGTCCATGTAATCAGTAGAAATTTGACATTAGCCATTCAGTACTGTTTATGCCATTTCAATGATCTAAGATGTTGTGTTGGTGTGTCTGAGCCTATTTATTGTACAGTAGACTGAGGGAAATCTAATGTCTAATTACCACTTTCAGTATGTATATATATGTGCCTATATATGCATATTTGACATTAACATGTAACTACAGTTTTGGCAGTACAAAACTGTAGTGACTGTTTTGTTGAAACATAGTTGCTGTAGGGTGTTTTGAAGAAGTTTCCCTCTAATTCTGTTTTAGCTAGCTGATTTGAGCCTATGTATTAAAAGCCACTCTATTCTAATGAATAAGTGTCTAATTTTGCATAGAATATATGAAAGAATATTGAAAAAACTGCACAGCCCAGAGCCATGAGTTACTCACAACCAGTATCATTATTTTAAAGAACAAGCTGCAGTGCTATTGTGGTTTTCTTCTTTCTGCTGCAAAAATATGGCACTTATAGTATGTCCTACTATACATTCATTAACAGCCTCCATTTAAGAGGAGTCTTAGTGAACCAGAAATAGAATTAATTGTGATTTTTCAGAAGACCTTTGTAAACCGTTCTAGTTGTTTATGTAAAATGTAAGTTCTGTATTCTATAGAAAGAGTGGTTTTCTGGTTACAGATTAAACCCTTTCTTGGATTGACATTATCTGTTGGAGATTTTAATAGGAAATTCATGAATTGAGGTTGCACTATTTTTTTGTCTGGAAAATGGGTCCAGAGTCTTCTGCATAATTGCTCATCCTGAAATGGAAGTTTTGCATTTTCAGCCTTGAAACACATTCTTTGGCAACTCCTTTAGAACAGAGGCCGAAACTCCTGTGTGTTTTGACTGGTTAATGATCAACTCTGAAAGACCTTGCTGGTAGATTTTGGGGGGTAATGGCAGCAACTCCTACTTTCGGTGTAGAATTTGCTGCATGTTTTCATTGAGTACACTTCAGCTTACATTTATTCCAAAGTCCAGCCGTTTTAGCAGTTGTGCATAGGCTTTTCTGCTGGGGCATTGCATCGACTTCCTCTGTGAACTCACTGTACTTTTGAAAGACATGTGACCTGCAGAAGTAGAATTCCTACCATACTTAAGGTTCTTAAGGAGCTCAGAACTTTAGGTTGGATCTGTTTTCCTGAAGACTTTCTTAATTGTTGGCACCATTAGAGAATGGTTTTGCATTTGCTTGGCTGAATGGACATGCTGTTATTCTGCTCCTCACAGTCTTACTCAACAGGAGACATTGGCATTTTTCCGTACCCCCTGGGAAGGCTGTCACACCTCAGCAGTTGGTGAGATCAGTTAATGTTGTACTACTGGATTAAGACCTTATTCAGTTCTGTCTTTATAAAAAAGTCATCCATTGTTCTCAGTCAGTTAAATGATGAAATGCTCTTGCATGAATGTTGACGTGGTATTTTTTCCTGTTTAGAGTATTTAGGCTTGCTTACAACAATTGCGTTTGATATTTTTTTTTTGACATGGCCCTCTTCATATAGTGTTTAAATGAGATATGAATAGACAGTTTCACATGCATGTGAATTGTTCATTTGTGCATGTTTTTGGTACCTTGATACTTTCATGAAAGTACAGTTTGTTAATATGGACAAGGGATCCACAGTAATTAGAAGGACACTGAAGAAAGGTTTCAGTGCCGTATAACTCAGATTTTATATCCAGTGGGAAACTGCAACTGGCCCTCTGTTTTCCCTCCCTGTTCCTAACTGTAATCCTCTTGATTTAGTAATGAACTTATTAAACTGTTCTTCTGGGTTGTAGAAGATAGATGCCAGATTTTGTTGAATAATGCCAGATTTTGCTGAATAATGATTTTTAGCAATGCACTTCCTCCTGCCTTATCTGCGGCATTTCACAAGGCCAGTGTCAGAGCTGTACTGATGTCTGGATGGCATCCATTCCCATGTCGTATTTACTTTTTCCTTCTCAGTTCTTTAACAGCTAGGCATGTTTAATACTGCTCTGCTCTGACTTCAAACATCATACAAAGTACAGACCATCATTTGACTGGATAGAAACTTTTTTTAGTGTTATTGTGTGCAAGATGTAGTCTTTGGTTTTAGATAGGAAAAGCATAGGTTATTACAAAAGTGTGTTGTTGGGAATAAGGGCTTGCCCTGCCTGAAACTCAACCAATGTATGAAATTCTGTATCCATTGGTGGTTTCTTCTAGAATTAATACATTTTGTGTGTGTGTGTGTATATATATATATATATATATATATATATATATATATATATATATATATATATATATATATATATATATATATTATTTATTTTTCTTTTTTTTTTCAGACCAAGTACATATTTTTAGTACTCAAAGATACAGAGTCCGATACCGTACTGAGTAATATACTTAGAATGAAGTAGTTGTTGGTGTGCGTGAGTGCAACGTTCCTTAAAAATTACTGGGCTACATTAATGACCTTGGATCAAGTAGAGCTGTGGAGAACAGCGGGCAGAAAAGCACTTCTGCACAGCTGTAAGTAAAGTAGAAATCATAGCAAAGCCCTACCAAAGGCTGCATAGAGGCACTTTGGTAGGAAATGTCAACATTTTTTTGACTTCGTTTAATTGACCCACGTTTCCACCCATATTAGGGAAAGCGGTTGTGATTGTGTTTGTGTGTGTGTGTTTAAAATGGGCTAAAATCACACAGTGTATTACAAGCGAGAATCTTCCTAAAAGTAATGTTCAAAATGGCCTCCTTCACTGTGTTTATTTATCAGCAAGGCAGTGTACACTCAGCAAACAGCAGGTATCGGAACGTCTGGAACAGCAGGTATCGGAACGTCTGTATTGGTGAATTTTTGTGAATGAGTTTGAGTATGAGTGAACGAGCACGGCATCAGACCGATACCGATACTGGGATGCATCCCTGTCACACAGTCACACTTAATGCTTTGATGTGATTTCTCATCTGTTGGATATGCAGTACTGTGCAAAAGTCGTAGTAAGTTTATCTTGGTTTAAGTCACTGTATAATTATAGAATAAATAGAAAATAAATTAATATTCTGTTTACACAGAGAACACAGGTTTGTTTCCTGACTTCTCAGTGCTCCCCAACTATTGCGTGGCTTTGTTAAGTTCCATCAGCAGCACACTTAATTTAATATAATGAAGGATTGATTAGACAAACTAGGTATTGCATGATAACTGTACATACTAGACTTCTTCGGGGAGAGCGTTGGAAATGGTTAGGATAACACAGTGATACACAATGCTGTGTTTTATTTATTTATTTGTAGTAGCTTGTATTATTAGTATTTATTTGTATCAGTTTTTTTGTGTTTTGGAACAAATAAATGCCTGCTGTCCAGATAAATGCTTTACATATTTCTCAATATTCCAGTATAGCAGTGGTGATGATATTGATGAGGTTTAATTAATTAATTAATTTATTTATTGTTTGGATCATGACATCAACTGAAATATGACAGTATTGAATGGCCAGTGTTAACTAAAACCTACATATAACTTCACTACTTTTGATGTTGGTTCAGCCTGTTTCTCTGGAAAATGTACTTTTCACTTTCTAGTTCCACTGTCCTTTCAGATGATTGCTGAGTGTTCTCCGTGGCTCCTAGAGTAACTGGCAGTGCCAGGAACAGAGATGGAATGTTGAAGCTTTGTTGGATTCTCCAAATGTACTGACTTATGCCTGACAGCCTGAAGCCTGTTGGAATGGCATGATCTAGCATCTGGAATAAATTTAGCTTGGATTAGAGAAACCTGGACAAGTTTAAAACCTTCACTTGGAATTCTGCCTCTGATTTTTAAAAGAAGAATGTGTACAGGCTGTGCTGAGGTCACTCTGTTCTATGAAGGGACCCTTATTTTGGGGAAGTGTGTGTTTTTTGTTTTTAAAGCATTCCAGTCTCCATTATTCTGGATCATTAGCTACTTATTTGATTTAGTCAGTTTTGTCAGTTTTGTTAGTGTTAAAGAGATGGATCAAGATGAATGGTATTAGTATCATGCTCTCATTTCTCTTAACCACACTTTGCTGGATTATTTTGGAAAAGGTTTAGCTCTCACTGAGTGGCTTTGTGTATTACCTCATTTTTAAAGTCTTTCTTGGTTTCATGAAAGAAAATAATGGTACCCTTAACACTGAATCAACAGGAAGCTAGCTTTATTAAACTGAAAAAGTATCTAGAGGAAAAAAGAGAAAGCTGGAACTAATTAAAATGCTCAGCATTCTTTTCATACCACTGGTTTTGCCAAAGGTCTTCATCGTGTTTATTTTAAATCCCCCATTTCAATAAACCCAAATAATCCTGTTTTACACTGCGTGCACCCTGAATGCAGACTTTCACAAGCCCCATCTGTCTTTTGTTTTCCATATGAACATGTTAATATGGAATGGTGTGGTTCTTACAAGCCAGGCATTCTGTCAGTGCTAAACCTATTTGTAGACAACAGATTTAAAGTTATGTATCGTGTTGAAACCTGTTAAGAACAAGATGACTGTAAAGGCATGTGTTACAGAATGAGACCAAATATAAAGTCATTCTTTATCTTTTCATCTTACAATTAGTTTGAAATGCTCAAGTAATTTTTTTGTCTTATCCCTTACAGAGCAGTAGTGTCACTTTGAATTGAGTTTTGGATAGATTACATCAATCCTATACCAGATTTGGACATTGGGTCAATATCGGCAGAAAATGCTGGACAGATTTTGAAGAGAAAAAAAGAATATCTGATCTGGTAACAAATATAACCTTTTAATAGCAAACCTTTTAATAGCACACACTCACACTGTGTGATGTGATGTTGTTAGCTATGTATTTATTCCTGTAGGGTGGTACGATGTAATAAACATACTTTTATTGATAAAATCTGCTTTCAATGGGACAAAAGTGAAGATACATACTAGAAAACTATTGATCTAGAATACTGTTGTAGCCTACATACTAGTATGTAGGCTACAATATGTGCCTATGAAATCCAGTGTTCACTATAACGGAGAAGTTGGTCTTTCAAAGCAGTAAATTCCAATCTTTATCAGTTATTCTTTGCACTTTGGCTCTGTCATTTGTGAATTTTTTTTTTTGTGATTTTGTGAAAAATTGTGGCTATAGATGCACTACAGGGTATCATTTTTGGCTGAAATGTTTTGGTGGCTGAACTTTTGGTGCATGTCTTTTAAAAATAGCTTATGTTCTAGCTCAGTATAAAGAAAAGGTGGGATTGTGTCGCATGTAGTTTTAGAGTAATATATATTATTATAATATGTTCAAATCGAAGTACCAAACCCAAATGGAGTGTTTTAAGCTTCACTAAACTGCTGAACTGTGTATGATTGCGTGAGAAAGATGTTTTTTTCAGTAAAGGAATATTCGTCAGACTGTCCCTGTCTGATTTTAAAGGTGCCACAGAATGCATTTATTCAGCATTTAAAATTGTCCTCTGATGCCTACGTAGAAGGCCTGTGACTTTGGCCGGGGTAAATGCTCAGATGAGGTTTTACACGCCCATTTACAGCCATATTATTTGGCCCTAGAGTGAAACAAGCTGTTTTCCCTTTTTTGGTGGGCTCATGAATAATCTGATTTGCTGATTTACAGTGAGGCACCATTATGGCTCACACAGAATCAACGTGTCGACATAAATGAATCTGTGTAAATAAGGTCGTCAGCCTATTTAGTTAGCTACACTAGTTGCTTGGAGCTAGCTGTAGCTAACGTTACCTATACTAGCTACTTTCAGTCTTGACGACAACAACACAAAGTAAATAAAAGTTGTTAGTGTGGTCACAATGAAAAGTTTAATTTAAGCTGATCTGGCTTCAACTGCCAAAAAGTGGATAAAAATGACACATACTGGCTGCTGCTTACAGGTTGCAGTTGGGGTTGTGAAGCTAATGAAGTTGAAATTGCCCCTCTCTTCGGTCTATTCAAGGTCAAATGCTGAGTGAAGCTTTCTAAATATTGTCTAAGGTTTGAGAAAGTCAAAGAATCCAGAGTGAAATGTGCAGAGCAAACTAACAACTTTAATTCAAAACTTTTCCAGGATCTTGTTAAAGGTGTGGGAGCTGAAGTTAGCTTCCTAATCCGCTCCACCTTAAATAGTGCCGCATCACATTCTGGAGCCTCTACAAGCTGCAGCTTTCAAGGTGGACTTGAACATTTGATTGAGAAGCCAACTTCAGCCTCAGTCTAAGATTTACCATGCCTGTTGACCTTAGTTAGGCCTTCAGATAAAAAGTTGTACGTTTCTTGGAAAGGGTATAAAAAGTGCTGACATCACCTTCACAGCCTGGAACGATAGATAGTCTACCATTTTCTGCTGTTGCTTCGTTGTTGTTATATGTAAATTATGGGGGTGTAAATTCAAGACTGTTAGGTACCAGATGAGGATTTTTGGAATTTACCACCCTCTTTTCCAAATGCAGGATTTGTGTTTGAAGGAGGAGACAACAGTGTTTCAGATTCATGGTATGTCAGTTCTGTGTACCGAACTCTCCGTATTCAACTGTGCCAACATGAATACAGTTTTCCATTCTATGGCACCTCTAGGTCTGCGTATATGTTAGGTATAGTAATTTTGCGCCATTCTCAGTGCCTTAATTATTATGGTTCAGCAGCAGTGTTGGGGTAGTTACACATGACAAATTGCTAATTACTTCTCTTAAACTGTGGTGGGATTATTTTACGCATTACTTTACTGATTACCTCAGTGTTACTCTCTAAAACCTATACAAATCTGTACAAACTGGAAAATACAAGACAAAATTCTATAGTTCGTTTCGGTACTTTATTTGGAAAGAAATAGTCAGTCACAGTAAATATCATTTCAAATTCTTGTTATTACTCCTGCATTTAAGCTGGCAGTGTACTTCAAATGATGAACGAACCATAAACCTTAATTTAAAAAATCTGGTATGGTATGTGAAATACTAATAAAAAGGAAAGTTATTAAATTCACCTAGAAAAACACAATTTGTGGTGTTTTACCTAATGATTTTTTTTTGGTAACTATACGCTCATTCTAAATTTGATGCCTGAATCTTTTGGCATTCTTTCATTACACAAGTCTTCAGCTGTGCAACCATACAGGGCCTTCGTAGTTTTTTTTGTTTTGACATGTTTTCAGTAGGACACAGGTAGGCCAGGCCAATCTAGCACCCACACTCTCTGATTACGCAGCCGTGCTGTTGTAACAGAATGTGACTTAGGATTGTCATTTTAAAATAAGCATAGATGTCTCTGAAAAAGATGACATCTAAAAGGCACCGTATGTTGCTCAGAACTGTGCATATATCTTAGTGTTCATGGTGCTTTCAGAGATGTACAAGTTACTCATACCGTGGGCACTAATACACCCCCACACCATGATGCGCCCTAACTTTGCTGATGCATTGAACATTTCAGCATGTTGTTAGGCTTCATTTCAGAATGAGCGTATATTTACAAGAAACTGTGAAGTTAATAAGGTAAAACATGAAATATCTTGTCTTGTTACTGTTTTTGTTTAAGTAGATGTTTAAGTTTTGTTTAAAGTGGATTCATTAATCACTGCTTCCTGTTTTTATTGCATATCACATACTGTCCCAACTTTTTTGGAATTGAGGTTTGTAAAATCAATTGAACAACCACTGAACACGCTGCTGTAAATACACTTAAAAAGAGCTCTGTGTATGTCTCAGCAGAAGCTTGCTCTGTGCAGTAGTCCAGTCAGGGGAGGGTCTCAGAACAAATGACGTGGTGATTAAGAGCTCTGTTCAGCAAGCAGCGTACATCGCACCCCGCAAGCTCAAACCACATCATTTTGGCCAAAAAAGACATTGTTAGCTTTGAAATGTCATTTTTTGTTTGAATTAAACTGACGCTGTTACTCCAGCCAGTAACGCTGGATTAAAACGATTAATGGCCGATACTGTGTGGTTACCCAGAAACTGTCAGTTATTGACAGATTCTCAGACTTATACAGTCGGCTGTCACAGGTATCACACCTGTGCAAATTATGTACAAGGACAGGCATGGATAATCTCTACAGAAGAAATTTAAATGCATCACATGTAATTAATATTGTTCTCTCAGAGACACATAAGTAGCTCAAATAGCTAAGCTCTTATTGACTCTTAGTAACTGTAATGTGATTACAGGAATTTTAAGTGTAATACATTACACTAGTTCATTACTAGTCATTCGCGGTCAGATGTGATCTCGTAATGAGAATACACATCTGGGGACAACATGTTAAACTTTTTGTGTTCAATTGGGTAAAAATCCACCATAAACAAGGAAACACCCCCTCTAAAACAACTTCCTGCTTGTTTGGAGTATTTTGGGAGAACTTTTCAACCAGGCTTTTCTTTAACACCATGCTAAGTTATAGGGATGGGGGGGAAAATTGATTCTTAGATGCATCGCGATGCGGACGTGGATGTCAAATGTCAAAAATCGATTTTCTAAATTTTATTTGATAACATAATGTTGACGGAACGCAAAAGGTGGGACTTTGCAAAGTGCGGAAGTGCAGCGCCCGGAAAGTCTGTGGCGGCACATTGCATTAAAAGCTAGCGCAGGGGTCGCAACCCAAATGGTAATAAGTCATTTTGTTTTTTCAACAAAAATCCAACTACCTTGGGAGCCACAACATTTTGAGTCCATTTTACCATCTTGGCTGTACATGTGTCTCAGTATGTGCTAATGTCCTAGTGTAGGGTAAAAATATAATACAAACAAAAACGCAGACTTACTTTGCTCTGCTTTAAGCTTTAGCTCAGTTGTAGCTGGTTTTCTTGCATCACCAGCTGTAAACATTTCCACAAAAGTAGAATAGTTTCTTGTAAAATGTCTCTCAATGTTCTACTTTTTACATGGCTGAAGCCAGTTTCTTGTTCTCCAGCTTCTCGTTCGAATTTTCCCGTTCCACCTTAAATGTTGCCTGAGGCACCAGTATGTAACTGCTGCACCATTCAAGGTGAAACGGGTAAAATACGAACGAGAAGCTGGAGAACAAGAAACTGACTTCAGTTTCACGTGTTTTTTTTAGTGCTTGACAGTTTCCTGTTGCAGATGAAATGTATCAGTAAACCAGCTGGAGTAATTATAAATGCAAATAAGTCTATTCGTCTCCAAATTATTGATGTTCTTCTTAAATCTTTCTCTTTGCCTTTTTGTTCGGTACTAGCTAGATGAACTAGCAGTTATAGGCTACATTAATTACAGTGTTTAAGATAATTTATTTTTAAAACTGTGTTTGAACGATCAGCAGAGCTTTATTTTACTGCAAAGGAGGATTATTTTATTTTTTGCCTAGAAATCTAATTCTGATGTGGAGCCGCAACAGGACAGTAAAAGAGCCGCATGTTACCGACCCTTAATCTAGCGTATGGAAGCACTTTGGCTTCTGTGGAGTTGAGGGGGAAAACCAAATTAGATGTTTTGACCTATTTTCTGCCCGGTTGTAGTTGCTGCCGACCAGAGGACCATCAATCAAGCGATGTCAAAACTTCCACCCAACTCGGAAAGGACAAAGTGAACTATAAACTGTATCACAACTTTTATTGCCAAGGATTTGTGTCTGTTGTCAGTCGTTGAGAAACAAGGCTTTTGCGCTATGTTGCACACTTTGGGACCGAGATACAGCGACCCGTCTCAAAGATATTTTACTCACACAGCGATCCCCCACACTCTACAACAAGACCGAAACCAAAGTTATGAAATCACTAAAGAAAACGGGTGGTATGGCTGTAACGTGATGCGTGGACATTCATTGCCACAGGATCTTATTTCACCATAACTGCGCTTTTTATCGCAGATGAGTGGCAACCTGCGTCTCGTCACGAGAGCAGTGAATGAGAGCCTTCCAGTTCACTTGCCACATCACTTCCATTTGATTTATTAATAAAAGATATTGGACGTAAATTCATTATGGACTATTACAAATACTTGGCTTTAAAAGTACAAAGTTGTCACACAGTAAGAAAAAAAGATCCTGTATAGAAAAAAAAGATGCATCGATAATCGTTTTATAATCGCATCCAGCCCTCTGAATTGTAATCGAATCGTGAGCTGTCTAGAGATTCCCACAACTACTCAGTTCCCATTCTAAGTCTACCTCGCAGCCCACATTTAGCCCAACTTTTATCGTGGTGGTCCACAGACATTTGTTTATGAGCTTGTGTCTGACAGCTTTGTTACAGGAAAAAACAATGACATTACTGTAACATTATATAATGTAACATTATTTTGTACCTTGTTACTACCAACTAGGGGTTACATAGACTAGTTGACTAATAAGTCCACTTGTCAGTGCTGTGGGCAGCAGCCAACTAATTATAGACAGGTAAAAACTGCGGTGAACCGACAGGAAAAGAGAACAGAAATCAGTTTTTCTGCTAAACACAAAGCCCAAAGTACTTTAATAGTGTGGAAAAACTACATAAAATGAAACCAGTTCTATTGTAAGCTGTACAAGACCGCGCTGAAATACAGTCTCATTAGCCAGACTGGGTAGGTTTTGAGAACTGCAATAGGAAAGGGCCATTTGACTGACATGCAAATCATCCTGTGACAGACTGTTTAGTACTTTTGGTGCAACTAGGCCTATATCTTGCTCTGAAAGGCTTATTGGTGAGTCGATGCAAGTGCTTGCATTTGATTTGATAAACAGTCATTTCTTTGATGCTGCATGGGATAGAGGCAGTATAATTCTCGGTGAGAGGGGATATTCTAAAAGCTATTTAGCGTGCGGTTTAACTCAGATAGCCTATATACTTCTATTGGCAGGGTGTCTGAGGTTGCTGAAATCCAGTTCTTCTACAGTCCACATTTCACACCTCAAACCGCAGAATCTACCGCTAGAACCAGACCCTAGCTACTAACAAAATATGTCCAGAACGCTTTTTTTTTGTTTGTTTTTTTTGTGGTTGTTTTTTGGCATTGACAACTAGTCAACAAGTGAAAATGAAGTCATGCAATGCCCTGCCTCCATCACTGTTCAGCAGTGCTTTTAAACCAGTATGACACGGGTCCTAGAAAAGGAGCAGAGATTCACTTTTGTTATAGGCTGACAGTACGTACTTGTACTTAGACGTACCATTTTTTTGGTATTATTCACTTATTTGTGATGTAATTTGTGATGTAAGCCTTTTTGTAACGTTATTGCTTTCTCATTGTTCAAACTCTTGATTTGACAATGGGCACTTTAGACACACATACACAAACTTAACGAACGTGATGTCCCTTGCCGTGCTCACACATTGTTGGTGGTTGGAGAGCTCTTAGTCCTGACCGTCCTGAAGGATTTATAACAAGGAAACAAGAGACAGCTTTGTATTGTGTAAGTTTACATGCAGAAAACAAAAGCATTTTGTGCTTTTGTGTTTGTTTGTGTGTATTTGGACCTTGGGTTGTATTCTGAGCCCTGTGTGGGAGCGCTGCAGGACAGACAGAAGCTGACAGCTCAGCGCCCTGTCAGCGCCGCACACAGGACGTCAGTCAGCAGAACACACACATTCCTCAGAGCCACATCCTTCCCCCCCCTCAAACTGCACACTCAGGCAGTGGAAGGACACGGGTGTTTGTTCCAGATGTCTAAGATGCTATGAACGTTCTAGAACTCCCGAATCAATGAATACCTAAATGCTTTGCAGTGTGTCTTTGTGGCAGTTGATCATACAGATGATAAAGTTCTCACTTATAGGCTCCCACTCTTTATCCTGTACGTGACTTTGATGGCTGTACTTTAGCTAGCTCTTATGCTCTTCTATTGTTCTCTATCATTTATTTTCTCAGTATGATGCTGATTGCCAGAGGGTGGGGCATTCATTTTTGAGCCTGTTTTAGATTAGCATTTGAGGTTATTTTAAGTTCTGCTTGTTCAGGCATTCTCAAACGCCTTCCTTGTTTTATATTCTCCGAGGGGATTCTGACTTGCAGAATCCTGCACATTCTGAAATAATAAACACAGCAAAGCCTGGATATACACAAGTCAGAACTAAAATAACCACTGTTGTGCATTGTGGGTTTGATGATTTAAGATGTTTTGTTGTTCAGGAAGCCCCTGGAGGTGTTTAGCCAAGCAGCTTTTGGATTTTACTTGCAACTTCAAAGAATACTGTAGTGCCTTAAAAGAGGCATATGAAGTGGTTAAACTAACAGTGTTGCATGATAAGCGTCAGTGTAAACTGTCAGATATTTCATTTATAATGATATGAATATGTATTCTTGTATAACCATATTTTAGCAATTTGTTTAACCTTGCCTTTGTAGTCGTTGGTGTACGAGTGTCCAGGATTTTTTTTTCCCCCAGGGCTTACTGATTTGTTACTCTTGAAGTGCTGAGTTGCATTTGACAGGGCTTGGAATGCTCTTAACAATGTAAATAAGCTACTAAATACCAGGATGTTATGATTTTTCATTTTAATTTTCAGTACCAGTGTTAAAATCACACAGAATATTACAGAAACTTAACTTTAGAAAGAGTTAAGTCTTTGACCTTTTAGATGACCTCATTAGGTTGCCCCAATTGTAAAGCAGCTTTGCTCAGTTGATAGTATAACCTAGTACATTGTGATGTTCAGCAAAAGGAATGCAGCCTAATGTCCTAATACTTAAACTTCTAAAAGAAATCTCTGCAATGAAATTCCAAGTTAAGTGAATGCAGTGGCTACCTGGGTGTCTTAGTGGACTTTGTTACTTTGTAGTGGACTTTGTTACTTTGAAGCCAGTTATTTCACTGTGATACTTCAGTGTTTAAGTCTTGACCATCAGTATTTGAAGTAGCACTTCCATTTTAGCACATAGCATGACATTTCATTTCAGGAATTCATGTAGACCAGACCTTACACTTTTCTACATGGCCTCCAAATCTGCCCTTTATGAGAGTGTAAGTAAAAGGCTTGCAATTAACCAGGTGCTAACTTGGCTCTGCTGGTGATCTGTGCGCAGCTTATGGCCTGAACCCCAGCGTGCTGATTTAATATGTAGAGCATGCCATTCCTGTGTAGTAATTCAGGCTAGAATTCTTTTAACAATAACACTTGGCAGCTGGAGAGCCATCGTTTGCAGCTTAAGTGAACCTGCTGCCCTTTGTTACAGTGAATGCCCTATTATACCCACCCACCAATTTGACCTTCAGAGGGAGATGATGCTTGGCAGATGATGATTGTTAAGGTCAGATAAGATCAAGGGCTCACATTAACCTTTATAGTACTGACCAAGAGAATCCTGGAGCTGCATAGTTGTAGGTAGTGCTTCTAATTGTAAACTGGAGGTCCAAACATTATTAAACAATATAGTGAAAATGGACTAACAACCATGCAAGATCTGGTAGACAACCAAAACTGTCAGATAAACATTATTTAAAGTAGTGCAGCACGATGATATCGGGTTCATATCTGTAGATATTTACTTTTGAAAATTTTGACATTGGACAAATAATATGGTTTGACCAATATTTCAAACGAATAGAGACACTGGACTACTGTGTTCATTTTACTTAATGTGTAACCCATCTGAAATAGATGTTATGGTTCTCTGTAATGCTAATCCAAGTGGTTCTAGTCCCAGTTTCTGCATGTTATGAATGTTTATGCATCAACATCAACATTGGTGTTGGCAAATACTCACATTAAATATATTGGAAATCTGCATCAGCTCACAATTCCCATATTGGTACATTCTTAATTTAATAATTTTGTCTTTAAGAGAGAGGAGAAAATCACTTTCCGCTCTTGCAGCAGATCTGAAAAAATCCATAAATTGTTCTGTCCATCTTTCCACTGTGAGAAGGCAACTCAGTGCTATGGGCCTGAAAGGATGTGCAGCTGTCAAGAAGCTGTTACTGAGAAAAGGAAATGGACAAAAAAGAAGAAAATCTGCAAAACAAAGAAGCTGCTGGTGTTCTCAGGACATTGGACTGGCCACCCCTAAGTCCAGACCTCAGCATTGTTAAATATGTTTATGGTATTATTTTAATTGTCAAGAAACAGAAAAGGTAACTGACTTCAAAGACTGAACTTGGTGATGTGGAAAAATATTCCTGTAGATTTCTTAACAAAACTGAAAGCCTGAAAACCTTCTAAAAAGAACAGAAGCTGCAGTAAAGCCAAAGGGTAGACACACTAAATACTGAAAAATGTGATATTTAGTTGATGAGGCCTCTGTGTAGTATCTGTTAAATGTTATCTGTTATGTTTGACTGGAAATTACACAAATGAAAAGGTGGTCTCCAACTTTTGCACAGTACTGTATATTCATGGTGTTTGTACCCTGTACTAATACTTCTGAATAGAGTTGACTGACCTATGCTGAAGTGGCTTCTTTAGATACTCTGTGGCACAGCAGATGTCTGTAAGCTCCTGCCATTCAGGGACATGTTAGCTGTTTGTTGTAACCCCCCCTTGTGTCCTTACGTGCTGAAGCATTTTTCTCTGCAGGGTTTTTTTTGTGTGTGTGTGTGTGTGTGTGTGTGTGTGTGTGTGTGTGTGTGTGTGAAAGAGTGACTGTATTTCTGTGTACTGTGCCTTATCTGACTCTTGTGTGTTGCAGGTGGAAGAAGGCAGTAAGGCTGCTGCTGTGAGACTTCAGGCAGGAGACGAGCTTATAAACATCAATGACATTTCCCTCAGCGGCTACAGGCAGGAGGCTATCTGCCTAGTGAAGGGCTCCCACAAGACACTCACTCTGGTGGTGAAACGGTAATCTATGTGCACAGACACACGCAAACCCACCCCTGGGCCTCACACACCTGTTCCCCATGCGCCAAGAGCGCCCATCTCCATGGCTACTTTTTGAGTGCAACCATAGTGACAGACCATAGTACCACGGGCAGTGATGTGATATGGGGACCTGCTCTTTGTGATGAGAATTACTTTGTATCAGTGCATTCCTGTAAAATTCTGTGTGCATTATAGGTCAGTTAGAACGTAGGCATAGCTAAAACTATTTTGTGCGCCCCATAACACGTAACATATACAGTGCAAACAATGTGCTGTCATGACTGTTGGTAAGAAGTCTCTGAGCTGTTCATTTATTGATTTTAGAGAATAATTACAGAAAATTGGTAGTGGTGCTCAGCAGTTCACTTTGCCCTAATTTTGCTGTTGTACCTTGATATGTGTTTGTAAGCTGACTATGATGCCACCTAGTGATATCTTACTAAGTACTTGGTAATTACCATCATCTTTGCTTACTCTGTAAAGTATGTCAGTGCACACGTATCCTTTGTTTCATATTATGTTGTTATTCTTCATTTCTGAGCTAATGAAAGGACGTTTATGACTCAAAGTCCTACTTAGACACCTCACTCTTTCAGTGTGACCTGTTTTTCATGCTTCTCCAGTAGCGTATTTCCCCCATTATGCGTTGATTTAATATACTGACTCTAAGGCTATTCTTAAGAGTGTATTGATCTGTACTGATTATGTACTATTAGTCATTAAACTACTGTTTCTTGTGGATGCAACAGGAATTGTCAGTGGCTTGTTGGTTTCATTGAAAATTGGTTGTTGGAAATGTTGGTTATAACAGAAAAACAGATGTTTTTAAAAATATTTTTTTGTAAGTGAAGTGTTGACTTCCTGTAATTCCAATTCTGCTTCTTGTTATCACATGACCCACAAACGGAAATGTTCCTCAGCATTTCTGGGTTGTTTGCATATGTAAACAGGGATACAGCCTAACTTTATGATTAACGTTCAGTGGATCAGTATGTCCACGTATGGTGGAGAAGTCCTGATAGGCCAGTTTGGCCAGATTGTTCCTTGATGTTACGACAGTTCCCAGTAAGTGCTACACATGAGTGGGAAGCATGGCAGGGAAGTGAAGAAAGTGACAGGGTGAGTCAGGGGTGGGCAGTATGACTTTTTTTATTGTTATTGTGCTAAATTACATTAAGCCACAGCATGAGTTTATGGACAAATTGTGCATATGGTCAGTACTTCAAGTATTATAGTGACCAACTGCCTGTTTCATTAAAATGAGTGTGATTTGGCCTGGTTAATTGGATTTAGAAATGTTGAATACAGTTTTTGATAGTATTTTTATATGTCACACTGTGGGTTCTTTTATGTCTGTTTCAACTCACCAAACCTCACGAAAGCTAAACACTGTGATGCGTATAATGTATCCTAGAAATGTCTTAAAGTATCATGGTGTTATATTTTTTACCATATCCACCCTGTTAGTTCATTGCCATTACTTTCATTATTGGTTATACTTTAACATTTTAGCTAGCTGCTATTGTGTTATTGTTGTCAGCAGCTAGATCTACAGTTTCTGTCTGTCACAGCAGATTTCATGCAAACAGTAGTAAATCTGTAAATCTAACCTCTGAGGTTGATGTGTTTTGTTAACCTTTAGCTAAATGGAAGCCTCTGGGATTCTAGGCATCCGACAGTATAAATGCAGTGAGTCTGATCCCTTTTATTTTGTTGTTTTGGATTTGAAAGTGTATGTAATCAGTTTCCACAGGGACTGCCTTATCTTACAGTAATGAGGAAACTAGCTTTCAGCACTTGCTCATGTTTAAGGGTGTTGCCTGTGTTTTGCATATGATGACCTCATTTGAAACTGTGAAGTCACAAAGAAAGAGTTGTCAGGCTTGTTCCAGGTACTGTACAAACATTGGAGGTGGGATGAGTAGGTGCAAAAGCTATGCTTATTTAGCAAGAGTCTGTTTATTACGGTGAATAATGCAGCTATATTTGTGTATTGATTATGTTGTCTAAGGTAGTCTGACCAGTTTATTTTATGCTATTTATTTCTACATAATCATGGAATAGCACAAATAATAGTGCTATATGAGCTCATTTTTTAAAAAAACATCTTTGCAGCAATGCAGCAATAGATTTTGGAGTAGGGTCCACTGTGGATTTGTCACCCACTTTGCTTGTACAGACGAGTATCAGCTGATAACGAATTTGATTTGATACTTGCATTTTCATAGATAATGCAACCACACTGTGTACATCTCAAGTTATACATTGGAACAGAAAAGAACCCGTAGTGCCATATAAAAAAATAGTAATTTAAAAAATGATGAATACATTGATTTTTGTTCAACGTTTCACATCCAATTCTGCTATAAATCCAGTTAAACAGAACCATTAAATCTTTCACTGTAACAAAACATGCAGTTGTACAGTGTTCTACAAGTAGTGAGAATATCCACAATATGCTCAGAAAAGTATATGGTAACATATTGTGAAGTATATTATCATGATAACGGTAAATATTGTTTCATGCACGAAAAATGAAAAATGTGTTACATGTATTATGCACGTGAAAAATAGTGATTTTACTGTGGCATTAAAATTATTTTTTACATATGCATAATCTGGTAGTCTTAACTGATTTTTTTTTTGCACCCCTTTTTTATTCAATATGACTGACTGAGCTGATGGTTTCCTTGCCAGTTACTTTTAAAATGCTGCAGTGAAATCACTTCATTTTGCATGTTTGGATAGTGTTGCACACTCTGAACTGATATTTTTTATTCCTTTGGATTACTTACCTGTTAAATAACAGTTGTATACTCTTTCACCATTCAGTTTCAAATGAATTATTTCAACTTAAACAATACAATTACTTTAATTCATGGTGCATCAAAACTTTTTCAGTGATTTGAAATATCTTTGAAGTTAATTATCTAGGCAGCTTTCACTATTTCATGTAAAAACGCATGCTAGCCACTTGGCAGAGTTTCTAACAGCATGCCACAAAAGAAATCTCCATTCCAGTCGAGTGAGTGCACTGCACACTGACCCAGTGAAACAAAAGTGGCCTGTGGATGGCTCCATTGTTGCTCTGGGCAACCACAGTGCCCAGTAGACTTTATTTGTTTGGATTCCTGAGGCCTTCATGGGCTTGCGAGGGGCATGGATGGAGGCACTTATAACATTTTTCGCCATACGTCTAACGTTACATATTTTTTTTAAAAAAGTGGTTAACTTCAGCTTTTTTTGTTTTTTTTTCTTGCTGTATAACAAATAAGTGAACCCAGTGCACAATTTTCATTTCATTAAAGCATTAATCAGTAAATGTAAAACCGTCCATTAAACAATTGATAAATGTTAAACAGTACTGCTAACTAGGAGAGAGGAGCTGGTTAACATTAGCTTCACTAGAACCACAGAACATGTTCAATTTTGGCTAACTAAAGTAGTCACAAATTTAGATGATTACAAATAATGAACAAAAATCTGAGAGAGTAAAGTCGAGCAACCATGGAAGGGACAGAAAGACGAAATTAAACCTGTTTTATGGTGGTTGGATCCGTAGCCTGATAGGCTACCATAACGTTAGCTTTTGAGAGAGCAAAAGTAGAGTAACAGTAGGCCAAAATCGAACTGGTTCTGTGGTGTTTGGGAGAAAGCTAAGTTAGCAGGCTAAACGTGCCACACCAGCACAGGCCTGGCTGTAGCTAACTGATGCTAAAATGAGAGGAAGGTCGAGAGACTGGTCTTGAAGTGAAAGCTGAAATCAGATGTGTTCTTTGGTTTGTGCAGAGAATGTGCGGTTCTGGTACCTGTAGCTCTTTGCCATGGCTGAGCTACAATCATGCTTAGCTTTTCCGAGGTGTTTGCTGGCTCTGATAGCTTCCTACCTTTTTCTGTTGGCGCCATCTATCAGTGAGCTCCCACACCACCAAACAGTGAGCCCCCTAAAATATAAATGGGTGGAATGTGTTTATTTATCTGTTTAGACATGGAATAGAAATTTGATGTCATAATTTTTGAAATAATGTCATAATTTTTAAATATGGTCATCATTTTTACATACCGCAATATACCATATTACTGTCATACTGACCCTAGTCAGCCCTAGTCAGCATTATTACGTCATTCAACAGCAAAAGGACCAGCTACTCATCTATGGATCACTTGGTATGGATCCAAGGAGAAGAGGTCTGCACGGAACCCACCGCAATATCTCGTGGCGCATAGGCGCATTTTCATTGTTGTGCTCGGGATGGGTGGGAAACCAGCCCACTGCAGATGGGAGTGGGCCGAAGCATGCCAAGCCCAGCAAAATACCAAAAATAACCATTCTGTGGTTTAGGTCTTGCTTTGTGTTTGCTGGGAATAAATGCTGTATGGTCAAGTTACTTCACAGTGAGCCTGATGACCATGGACTGCTGTGTTATTTCAGCAGAGGGCAACATTTTTGTGAACAGACTGTCAGATATTGAATGTCTCTTTGCCTTGACAGAACTGCATGGGCGGGAGTGGGCCAAAATGTTTCGGTTGCGGGCGAGGGCAGGACAAATGTCCCATGCAGAACACTACCAGGGAGCTTAAGCTTCTTGTGTTGCATCAATGTCCTCTATTGTCTTTGTCTTCATGCTAGTTCTGTGATTACTGCTAAATCACACATAGGAAAGAGTGAAATTAAAACCTTGCCACACTTTTGTTTACTGTTGCTTAGTAATCAGATATGTTCATTGATATCACTGGCGTTGGCACCTGGAATGAATAAACTCTTCAGCAATCTACTGGATTCTGTATTTCAGCTCTTGAGACAAAGTCATTAATGCCATCTAGTGGCTAAGCAGGCAGGGAGGCTTCCAGATGAATACTGAATGATTCATGCATTTATAAACATTTTTTTTACTTTAGTGTTCCCATATTCTGCTTAGGTTCTACTCTCAGAATGTTAACAATACAAAGGTAACTAGGTTGACTTTCACATTGTAGAG